GTGCCAAAACGAGGGCACTTCCACTCACTCAGCCTGGGCATTTCATGAGTCACCAAGCTCAGCTGATCAGTAAATGGTTAATTAAGACAACCCCATCGTCAAGAATGTCACATAAGCAGAGTAAGATCCTCCTTTAACAACTTAGTATGAGATCGCATGCTGTTCAGCATTACAGGTTAGTGGAATACTGGCCTAGTGCTGGTTGTGTGCGTTGTGTAGGAGGGGCAACGAGCAATAAGGAAACTCTGCTTTCTTTCTGTCTCTAGCCGGCCAGAGCACCACCCCCCCCTCTCTCTTGGAGCCGGCGCCCTCCCTTCTCCAACCAGAAACCATGTCGAGACAATAAAAATAAAACCAAAACACAAAGAACAATGTCAACCTTCCCGGCGTCCGGGGTCCTCCCCGTTCTCCCTCTTTTTCCAACCATCCTCCTTCATTAATAATGTTTTCAATATGAAACAGTGGACACACCCATGTCAGATTCTAACATTTACATGGCTTTCGCGCAGTCTCTGCTTTCCGTCGAGCCGTCGTCGTCGAGAGAGATGGGGAGGAGGTGGAAGGAGAGAGGAGAGGCAGGCAGGGGGAGGCTTCTGCTCCAAAACAGAGGGTGGAGTATTAGTGATGCCATCTGTCCTCCGCACTACTTCAGGATTAGATGAAGTCCTTCGCTCAACTCATCTGGAAGGGAATAGGGCAGAGAAAAGGGACATTAAATCCTCCTCAAACGGAGACAGGCTGGCCTGGTACCACCAACAGCTCAGCAAAACTGGCTCTGACCTTTGACTGTGCTGATCAAAAAACAGCTCTCGTCAGGCAAGTTGTAAACCATCTATTGGAGAGAGAAAAGACAGAAAACATTAGAGCTGAAGACGGGGTCCTTTCCAAAAGGCTCCCAATGTATTTTCTCTGTAACTAGGAAGCCCTCAAACCCGAGGCCCGTCGAGCCGGAAACGAGACATGGAGGCCAATGACTCACCCCAAATTAGGCAACGAGCATCTTATGACACCCTTTCAAAACGTATGCACAATTCCCTCTGTCTGTTTTCATTCTTCATTTGTTTATGTTTATGCATTTGGCAGACGCTTTTTATCCAAAGCGACTTACAGAGTAGACACAATATTACATTTCTCATCACTATGACAATAAGCTATATATAGGAGAAACACTGATCAGAGTCAGTAGTGACAGCAAGAGATAGAGGTAGAGGGGACTACAGAAGGAGTTGTGTGTGTGTGGGGGGGGGGGGGGTGTAGAGGTACGGGTTGCTGGTCCAAATACATTTGGGGTGTGCCAGATTCCCCCAGAAGTGGAGGCGATGTGTGTCTCTAATAGGGTCCCAGCCAGAGCACAGACCGGGGGGCTGTACTGTAAAGCTGATCTGTGGCTAAAGGCTCACACACTGGGCGGAGAGCGGGACACAGATACGGATCCTACAGGAGGAAGGGGGTGGTCTGTGGGTACCTGGTCGCTGAGCAGGATGTGGATGCCTGTGGGACCCTGTCTGTACACCTGGTTGATCTTTCCCAGTGGAATGCCGCACACGGACGCCATTTTGCGGATGAGTTCTGCAGCGGTGAGCTCCTCCAGGTACAGAGCGTGGTACACTGGAGGGAGAGAGGGGAGAGGCCCGGTTCAGAGTGGGTGGTTACAGGTCCGGGGGGGGGGGCAGCCCGGTCAGCAGATTTTACCGTGTAAACTGGGGGCCACGCTGTGCTCCCCGTTCTTGCTGCTGCAGTGCCTCTCCAGCAGGGGGCTCTCCTGAGCAGACTCCTGGCAGACGTACAGCGTCAGCCGGGGGCGGACAGACCTGCACACAGAGGAGGAGGAGCGCTCAGCGGGGGCTCTCTGGACCTCAGAGAGGTCTGGAGAGGGAAGAAAACGGTGGTGGCTTTGTCCCAGACGGTCTGACAACCAGCCCCTCTCTCAGAGAGGAACACAGCTTTGAAATAGCAGCAAAAACACGGACCAAAGGAGGAGATGCAGACCTGGATTTGAGTGCATTGAAGAGTCTGATCCCATCTGCTGGTCCACAGATCTGGACCAGGTCGTCCCGGGTTAGCTTCAACAAATCAGAACCTGAAACAAAAAAAAAGAAAAAAAAGATCAGGTCTCCTCTAATTCAGGTTTAACCAAACCCCCCCCCTCATGATGGACAGTTTTCAGGGAAGGATGCGCACATCCACTGACCAGAGCAGAGGACATGTCTGGACATTGGTATAAATCCCGCTTTACAACATAGTGTCTATTTCACCCATTTAGGAACTGAAGTGAACTCAGGTCCAGTGTCTTTCCAAAGGATAAAAGAATACAATCACTTATTGTGTCTCTGACATAGTGAAGTAATTTGCTGCTCCCGTTAAACTTAAAATACTCTTAAATAATCCAGTTACTCAGGATTTTAGAGGCTTTATTGGGAGCTAGAGAACACACACACACACACGTGTATTAATAATAATAAATTGTGTGGATTGAATCAAAGACATGAAGGAAAGCTATTACAGATTGTAAGGAATGATGTAGTTATTGTATAAGAACCCTATTCCTGCGTACCTGAGAAGTGAGAGAAGACCCGAGCGTAGGAGCTGAAGCGATTCTTCAGCAGCCACTTCTGGGTGTCTTGTATGGAGGCAGTGGGACTCAGCTGCTGCAGAGGAGAGCAGCAACAGGCGGGCGTTAGCTTACTCCCACCTGTCCCCTCTGTGCTTTCATCCCCACTCACCGAGTCCCACCGAGCAGAAACCGCAGAGGTTTGATGTGCTTTGGGGATCTGAATAATAACAAATCTCCCTTAAAACTTCATAAAAATCACCACATTCAACAGCAGAATTTCTTGTTTCAGCTCACAAAAATCTGAATGTGTTTGAAAAGCCGCAAGCCGACTTTTTAGTCAAAAAGTTATGATAAATAATAGAACATTATTGTCATTTAATGCATAATTATTTGGTGCTGAAAACCTTAAATGTGTCTATTACATACTCTGAATGCTAAACCTAAAAGCTCATCTGAGAAAAAAACAACTGTGTGTAACAACAACTAACCTCCGAGTTTGCCTGAATGACAGGGTCTGCCTGGTGAT